AGACTCGCACCCTGGTCGGCTACGTATTGATTTCTGAACCCTTCGAGCAAGTGAAATTTAAATAATGCATTTGCCAAAGCACAAGTAAGTCAGTGCTGCCAGAATTTTGAAGGCAAGAATTGCTAGAATTTAAAAAAAAAGTTGCTAAAATTGCTAAAAAATTTATTAAAATTGCTAAAAGAAATTGCCAAATTTTGTTAAAATTTTATATGTTAAATTTATTACTTTTATTTATGATTATGTTTTTAAATGATAGTTAAAATGTCGTCCAATTGTTCCAATATACTTTCTTCATCATTAATAACGGCTAGCTGCACAGAATGACAGACGCATCTTATGAGCTGAAGCGAAGGAACTGACTTCTTCAGCTCAGTATAGACACTTTGTTTGGATCCAGTCATAACGGTTGCGTTATACTCCAATACCAATCAAATTGCCTATACTCAAGCTTTTTCTTAAAAGCAATTTCCTAACTGCATCTGCTATGCATATCGCGTCGCCCACTTCAATAAGCTCAAGGCTTAGAAATGTTGAGACAACTGTGCCTTTACTATTGCTGAAATAGTTAATAGCAACTCCTAAAGATTTAAGAAAATTTAAACATATATTAAATTAAGTATACTGCTACGCATATAAGCACAAATAAATATATAAATAATGCTTACCAAGTATCTTTGTGACACTTATATCTGTCGATTCGTCTAGCAAAAGACTGAATGCCGAGTCACCAATATCAGCCCGCAAATTTTCCGCAAAGTGCTCGGCAAGAACATTTTTATACTCATTCACGAAAGTGAATCAGTATATTGGTTTTGTGCAATGTCCGTCTTGCTGTCCGTCCGTCTGTCTGTCTGTCCGTATGAACGCAATCTATTTCGGCGCTATTGAAGCTAGAGACTTGAAATTTGGAACACATACTCGTGTATATCTCCGATTTATAAAGTGTTAAAATTTTCCCGATCCGCCCACTAGGGGCGTGGCAAATCGGAAAATGCATTTTCCGATATACCAGAAATCATGTTTGTTGAAGAGCTAGAAAGCTGAAATTTGGTATGTAGGTCCGCGTTGACCACCCAAGATCACGAGCTATGGCGGATATATCTACGCCCATTGGGGGCGTGGCAAATCGGATAAAACTGTATCTCCTAAAGTTGTAAACCTAGAATGCTGAAATTTTGCACGTCAGCTAATGGTATGATTCTATAAAGTCTGAAGATAAATTATAAGTCTACGCCCATTAGGGGCGTGGCAAATCGGACCTGAAGATATAGTGATTTTTTAAATTCTCCTATATTTTGGACACTATTGATGACAGAGATTTTGTATATATACTCGGACTGATCACCCAAGACCAAAAAGATTTATCGGATATATGTCCGCCCACAGGGGGCGTGGCAAACCGCAAAAGTTGATATCTCCTAAAGTATAATAACTAGAAGCTTCAAATTTGGATAGTTGAGTTACTGGTAGCCTCCTCTATCGATTCCCCAAAAATAATTTTTACGCCTCTTTAGGGGCGTGGCATATCGAAAAATACCCTGTAATTTTCACATTTTTTGAGGGTAAGCATTCAAACTTTGCAGTTAGGGTACCGTTATCTCTTTCTAAAAACTGACCAAAAATGAGGTGTCTACGCCCAGTTGGGGCGTGGCAAATCGGAGAAACCTGTATATTCTACAGTATTAGAGCGAAACTTAACTACTAAATTGTTGATGGGATGTGAATGAGTATTCCGCAGTCGGTAACGCCCGACTGCAACGTTCTTACTTGTTTATTATATAACTGCACTTTGTTCTGCCCAATTTTATGTTTGCTGCCGATTTGCAAGCTGCAAATTGGTGCGCACATAATTGCGACAAATGATCGCTTGTCACTATTGCTGCGTGTTTTGCAATGTATAGGCACAGTGCAGCCTCATGCTCCTCCGTCTTGTCACATTTTACAACAAAAGGCAACTTGTTTTTTTGTGTACACGCACCCATCGCACTTATATGTTTTTTTGTGGCAGCGTGGTGGCGCACATCATAAAGCTTCGCGCCAATAGTGCACTTGCAATAGGCGCAATAGGCCCTTGTTGAGCCTGTGTCATCCTTGCGAATCCACTCTTTAAACTCGCCACTAAACCACACATCGCGAAATTTTTGGGTATACGTTACGTTTTTGGCATTTTTTATAAAACTATTGAACTATTGTTAACAAGTTTGTGCATTTATCGATATTGTTATGATTTTGAACAAGTTGAGTTCTTTTTAAGATGATGTTATTGTGAGATCACAAAAATCACAAAATTGCTAAAAGTTGCATAATTTTTTTTTAAAATAGCAATATTTGTGGCTAATAGCAATTTAAAAAAAAAATTGCAAACTCAAATTCAAAATTGCTAGATCTAGCAACTTAATGGCTAAAATGGCAGCACTGCAAGTAAGAAAGCTCTACTCGAGACTGCTGCTCGACTACGTGATCAGTGGTGCCAGATTTTCAAAGTCACTATAAGCTAGATTGATGAAAAAAAATAAGCTAGAATAAGCTAAAATTAAAAAAAAAAAAAAAGCAAAACTATAAAAACACTTGATGTATAATTTTAAATAAATATTTGAATTTTATTAATATATTTAAAATTATATTAACGAAATTATATCAATTTCATTATTAGCTTCCTCATATTTCTCAGATGTTTTAATTAATGATAAGTAGCTTACAGGTACTTTATAATTAAAACAACATTTGCCATTCCGGCGTAATCCACATCCGTAAAGTTATCAAGTAAGAACGTTGCAGTCGGGCGTTACCGACTAAGAAATACTCATTCACATCCACTCAGCAATTTAGTAGCTAAGTTTTCTCATTTCTGGTCAGTTCTTAGAACGAGATAACGGTACCCTAACTGCAAAATTTGAATGTGAAAATTACAAGGTATTTTTCGATATGCCACGCCCTCAAAGAGGCGTAACAAATATTTTTGGGTCATCGATAGAAGAGGTTACTAGTAACTTAACTATCTAAGCTTGAAGCTTCTAGCCATTATACTTTAGGAGATATAAATATTTGCGGTTTACCACGCCCGGAGGGCGGACATATGCCCGACAAATCTTTTTGGTCTTAGGTGGTCAGCCCGAGTATATATACAAAATTTGAGGTCTCTAGCATCAATAGTGTCCAAAATATAGTAGAATTTAAGAAATCACTATATCTTCAGGTCCCCTAATGGGCGTAGCTTACGTGCCAATTTCAGCGGTCTAGCTGTAAAACTCTTGGAGTAACAGCTTTATCCGATTTGCCACGCCCCCAATGGACGTAGATATATCCGCCATAGCTCGTGATCTTGGGTGGTCGACGCGGATCTACATTCCAAATTTCAGCTTTCTAGCTCTTGAACTAACTGATTTCTGGCATATCGGAAAATGCATTTTCCGATTGGCCACGCCCCTAGTGGGCGGATCAGGAAAATTTTAACACTTTATAAATCGGAGATATACACGAGTTTGTGTTCCAAATTTCAAGTCTCTAGCTTCAATAGCGCCGAAATAAACTGCGTTCATACGGACAGAAAGACGGACATTGCACAAAACCAATATACTAATTCACATTTGTGAATGAGTATAATAATTCACTTTCGTGAATGAGTATAAAAATTAATTAATACAAATAGATAAAAAGCATATTCTAGTTGCTCTGTGGCTCAGTTAGCTTAGGTTCGCCCATTGCTTTATATGTATATACATACATGTTCGTATATGGGCTACAGCGGCAGCTGATACGCCAGCCAGATATCCGCATTTCAACAGTTTTCATGTTTAACATACGCGTCGTATATCATCGCCACACGCATAATTAAGTAGATATCTGCATGAATGCCTAATGTTGTTATATCACATATGGTTATATAGGTTTCATAGACTCCGGAGCTACATACTTATGCAGATTTATAGATTAAATTTCATTCATATTTTATTGACCAATTACCTGGACCTGGATGTATCTAATGTATTGACCAAATAGCTGAAGTAGCCAGCTTTTCTGCTGCTGGTGCTCCGATTGCTGCACTCCGAATCCTCAAAGTTTCGGGGCCTAGGTCAACAATCTTGAGGCGACACCACTTCAAGTCGTTGAATCCTATACTGATTGCCAGCTGGGTATATTTATAATATATATCTGTGCCTAATAGGGGCATGGCAAATCGGACCTGAAGATATAGTGATTTTTCGTATTCGGCTATATTTTGGACACTTGATGCTAGAGACCTGAAATTTGGTATATATACGCGATATGCGGGTTGACCAGCCAAGTCCAACGAGCTATGGTAGATATATGTCCGCCCATAGGGAGCGTGGCAAACCGCAAAAGCTTATATCTTCTACAGTTTAAGAGCTAGAAGCTTAAAATGTGGATAGTTCAGTTACCGGTAGCCTCCTCTATTGATGCCCCAAAAATAATTGTTACGCCTCTTTAGGGGCGTGGCATATCGAAATTACCCTGTAATTTTCACATTTTTTTTGAGCGGAAAAATTAAAATTTTGCATTTAGGTTACCGGTTGTTCGTTCTACGAACTGGCCAAAAATGAGGAGTCTACGGCTTCTAGGGGCGTGGCAATCGGCATTTATAGTGCCCGAATTGCGGCATTTATATGCATCAGCCATCTATTTATGTATTTGTACACATAAATAGGCTTCATGGGCATTGATAGCACGGAAGGAAACATTTTTATAAAATTAATAAAATATAAAAAAGCTAAAATAACAACAAAATTTGCAATTTACAAAAACGAGTTTTCCGCGGGATTTGAACTCGCACCCAAGCCGAATAGCAGTTCATGTCAAAATATCTAAAATAAAGGTCGCCGGCGCTTTAGCCTGCAGCACCACCGCGTCGTCTCGATCAACAGCAGTGCTGCCAACTTTTTACCAGAAAAAAAAGCTGTTTTTAGATGGAAGAAACGGAAAAAAAAGCTGAAAATTTTTACAAAAAAGCCTAAAAAAAAGCGGTTTTTATGGTTTGATTATTTTCATGTTTTTTTTTTTTTTTAATTTACAAGATTTTCAGCATGCTATCTAATTCGTCGCGACTAGCATCGCTTTCAGAATCGTACGACCTATTAGTACCTATCATGCGAAGATAATTTGGAGGAACTTTGTATTCATAGCAGCATTTGCCCAGTCTTCGCAAACCATATCTGTGTGTTATATTAAATAAATCAAGTAAGAACGTTGCAGTCGGGCGTTACCGACTGCGGAATACTCATTCACATCCCATCAACAATTTAGTAGTTAAGTTTCGCTCTAATACTGTAGATTATACACGTTTTTCCGATTTGCCACGCCCCAACTGGGCGTAGACACCTCATTTTTTGGTCAGTTTTTAGAAAGAGATAACGGTACTCTAACTGCAAAGTTTGAATGCTTAACCTCAAAAAATGTGAAAATTACAGGGTATTTTTCGATATGCCACGCCCCTAAAGAGGCGCAAAAATTATTTTTGGGGAATCGATAGAGGAGGCTACCAGTAACTCAACTATCCAAATTTAAAGCTTCTAGCTATTATACTTTAGGAGATATAAACTTTTGTGGTTTGCCACGCCCCCTGTGGGCGGACATATATCCGACAAAACTTTTTGGTCTTGGGTGATCAGTCCGAGTATATATACAAAATTTGAGGTCTCTGCCATCAGTAGTGTCCAAAATATAGGAGAATTTAAAAAATCACTATATCTTCAGGTCCGATTTGCCACGCCCCCAATGGGCATAGACTTATAATTTTATCTTTAGACTTTATAGAGTCATACCATTAGCTGACGTGCAAAATTTCAGCATTCTAGGTTTACAACTTTAGGAGATACAGTTTTATCCGATTTGCCACGCCCCCAATGGGCGTAGATATATCCGCCATAGCTCGTGATCTTGGGTGGTCAACGCGGACCTACATACCAAATTTCAGCTTTCTAGCTCTTTAACTAACATGATTTCTGGGATATCGGAAAATGCATTTTCCGATTTGCCACGCCCCTAGTGGGCGGATCGGGAAAATTTCAACACTTTATAAATCGGAGATATACACGAGTATGTGTTCCAAATTTCAAGTCTCTAGCTTCAATAGCGCCGAAATAGATTGCGTTCATACGGACAGACGGACAGACGGACGGACGGACAGACGGACAGACGGACGGACAGCAAGACGGACATTGCACAAAACCAATATACTGATTCACTTTCGTGAATGAGTATAAAAATAATATATAAATCGGTATCATCTTTTCACTCTTAATAAAATATTACCTTATGCTAAGAATACTGTTTATTGGGTTCAGGCTCATTAAGTTCCTTAACTTGGACTTTACCAAGTTAAGCTGGCTAAATACGCGTTCCACCTCCGCGTTGGACCATGGTAATGAAAACATTTGCAGGGCAACAGCTGCCAAGTCAAGGAATCTGCGGTTGCCGCCAGAATCCTTGTAATTAGAGACTTCATTCCAAAATTTGGAGCTGTCATTTATGTTTTCCCACTTGACTAGATTAATATCATAATACTGCCGCTCAATGTCGGCTATTCTGTCTACTTGGAGATGCTCTTGGCTAACGGCAAGTTGCACAGAATGACAAACACATTTTACCAAAATTAGCTGTGGAGCCTCCTTCTTCAATTCCGTGTAGACACTCCTGTTTGTGCCAACCATAACAGTAGCATTATCGGTACCAATGCCAATTAGATTTTTTATATCTAATTTGTATGACAATAACACGTTTTTCACGCCATCAACAATGCAAGTAGCATTACCAAATTCTAGTTGAACCAGACTTAAAAATGTTGAGACGAATTCACCTCGCGGAACGGAAAAGTACTTAATTACCAAACCTATATAAGTATTCATATATAAACATACATGTAATACATGAAATTAAATATATTAAAATAACAAGAACAATTATTAAGATAATTACCTAAAAGTTTTGTAACGCTGATGTCCGTTGATTCATCGAGTATAAGGCTGAACTTAGAGTCGCCTATATCGCTGCACAAATCTTCATAAAAATGACGCGCCAAAACATTTTTTATAATACTGGTGCATTTTGTGCTATGAAGCTTTATTCGCCCGGCTGTTGCAATATCAAAATGGCTGCTGCATAAATTGCCCAAATGGTCTACCTGTGCCATAGCTGTGTGCTGTGCAATAAACAGACACAATGCTGCTTCCTGTTCCAAAGCTTTTGTAGGCAAGGTACCAAAATCAATTTTATTCTTTTGCTGGAAGCCACCCAACGCACTTGTGTGTTTTTTCGTGCTTGCATGAGCACGAAGATCGCTCAGCTTTGCAGTTATTGTAGTCTTACAATAACTGCAATAGACCCTTGTGTCGTCCGTGTCATCCCTGCGAAGCCACTCCTTGAATTCTTCGCTCTTTATCCAAGCATCACGGCACTTTTGCTTATATTCCTTTAGCATGGCGAAATTTGTAGCCGAAAAAATCCCACTTATTGTGATCACAGTTTGTGTAAAGTAGTGGTGGTGATATTGGCGAATATCGATATAAACGTATGATAAAGCTGCCACTCTTTGACACATTTGGTATATTTTTACCAAACTTCTTCACAGGTTTATCGAAAATGGAAGATTTTAATACCAAACTTTTTTAACAAGTGGCAACCGCGCTGCTACATTTTTTCATTGGTGGCAGTATTAAAAAAAAGCGAAAAAAGCCAAATTCATTTTTTAAAAAAGCCAGAATTCCCGCTTCCCGCAATTCCTAAATATTTCCCGCAATTGGTCTTCGGAAACAGTCAGATTTGACGGGAAAAAAGCTAAATTGGCAGCAGTGATCAACAGTAGTTAAAACAAAGTCACATTATTGTTATGACGGCCCATAGCAAAGAAAAGCCAGTGTAGCGGCTGGAAAATCAAAAACAATGCAAAGACAAATCAATCGCAGCGAGATTCTTAGAATATGCTAGAGTACGCATTTATGTGTACATACATACACACATACAAATGAGCGCGTGTATAAGTCTGGAATGTTTGATGCTATGCGAGCAGACTTACATATATACATATGTATGTATTTGCGTATACAGATAGTTGGAGGATGGGGTATAGAGGTAGGCGTCTCAGTGTCGGCAAAGGCAGGAATCCCGCCGTCAGATTTGCAGGAGCAAATCTACGGTATGTGACGCAATACGGTTACCTTGGATTGATAACTCACGCGCCTAAAAGTGTTTATTTCCGGCATTCTGCGATAAGCGATCTTTGGGAACGCGAGTGTAAATGTGGTTGTGTGTGTGAGAACATTGAGCGCCCGGGACAAAAAATCATTCGCTCCCCTCATTTCATATCAAATCACAAATTTCGAACTAAGACGCTGAAACAATTAGTTATTCAGTGGAGAGCGGTGTTATTGAAGCTGCACGATTATTCATTTCAATTAATCGCTGAAAAGAAATCGACTGTTCATTAATCAAACGTATAGTTTTAAAGGTATTCGTACAAATTCGTAGAAAAGTAAACATTTATTTATTTAGCTCCAATGCAAAAGATTCTTGGCAAAGTGTGCCAAGTAAAAGGTGTACAATCTATTAAGAATAATAGCAATTGGCTTTTGCCAAGAAAAATGGTAAAATGTATAAATAGTTTATAACCACCACTGATTAATGATCTTACTTTGGGTAAATATATAGTTTCATTTGTTTTTTGGGAAAATCTAAAAAATAGCTAACGATTTTTATCCAGGTGACATACTCGTAGACAACAAAGACTTGTTAAACGATATTCAAGACGTCTTACTTTTACAAAAAAAAAGAGCGAAGAAGAACGTAGAGTAATTGGATTCTCGCCTGAACAGCTTCTGTTAAATATTTCATTGGGACAAGAAGCTTACAAGTCATTAGCGACAGCTTTGCAAATATTACTAACTATACCTTTTTTTACTTTTTTAAATTCACGGATCAGCAAATATCGTTTTGCTGCTTTGCTGGGTAGACAGCTTGGCGGCTGCCATCATAGCCAGTGTCGCCTCTGCTACCCCACTGATGCCACCGTTGCTGTTGCTGCTGCTGCCCTTGGCGGTGCTATCGCTGCTACCTGGCCCCCAGGAGGCGCCGTCGACGCCCGTCCACTCGTCTCAGCGTGCTGAATAACTCATCGAAATTCCAAGAGTTGATACCGGAGATGTTCGACAGGATGAAGGAGTTGGAGCTGCATTACCCCGAAGCATTTTATGGAAGGATTCGTCAAGTACCACTTCTTTGGACACTACTACAGTGTAGCGTTCAAGATGTCGGTAGATCGGCAACTCAGCTGCAAAATAGTCGTGAAAAAGAACGGGTTTCTTTCTTCTTCTTAGAATGTATAACACAAGCAAAGGCAAATGCGACCCGCGACTCTAGAGCGGGCGTCAAGCCCATGGGCTTAAAAGCAAAACTTTACCATCGCCCTAAAGGAAACAAATATCGTTAAACTGTAGTTGTACCAAGGCGATATAGCCATGTCCGCCTGTCCGTCCTCCCCTCAGTCTGCTTCTGACAGCCGACTGGTGCGGACGTGTTTTTTCGAGTTCTCGTGAAAAAGTGAAAATAAAATAAAATAAAATAAATTATATAAAGTGTTTAATTTTAATTAATAATAGTTAATTTATTATATACTGACTTACTTTTGTGCGACCGCGGAGAGCGGGGAGTGCGGAAAATAAATAATTAACTATTTAATATTGGGAAAATTTTGTAACATTACGTGGCCTTTAGTGGAAGTGTTGCAATTTTATAGATGTGGATAATTTGCAATCGAGCATACGGTCACTCACACTTGCAAAAGGGGCTTTTTGGAAAATAAAAGGTTTGGTCACATCCTTTAGTTTTTTTTTTTAAATTTACAGGACTGGTCACACTTAATTTGTCGGGAAATTTAAACGGAGAAAATGGCTGCTGCTGCTCATAGCAGCTTCACTGAGACAGGTGGCGAAAGTGATGTTTCTTTGGTGCCTGTTTCTATTGGCAGAAGGCGGAAGACGTTGAGGAAGACATCTAACCATGACGACATAATATATACAGTCCCTGAGTCGCCGCCCCGCAAGAAGCGCGCAGGTAAGAAAGAACAAACTGATGATTCGGATGCCTCTGTCGCCCCTGCTGCCCCTGTTGCCCCTTTTGACTCTGTTGCTCCTGCTGAGCTTCCTGAGTCTGCTGAGCCTGCTGCCCCCGTTGCCGACCCTGTTGCTGTTGCCCCTTCTGCAACATCAGCCGTCTATCCTGGTATTGGAGAGGAGACTGCTGCAGCTGACCATTCTGGAGGACGTAAGGAGGTGAGTTCCAACTCGATGGTCCAACAAATGTTGGCCATCGAAAAGAAGCTCAGGAGAGCCGTCGTTGCCGATGGAGTGCCCAGCACCGTTGCACTGAGTGTCCTGGATTTGGCGGCCAAGTACCAGGAGTTAGTGCTTGATATGTATGGCAGGATGAAGGAACTGGAAGCCGTCGCGTTTACCCGCCCACAGGTCGCTGCCCACCAAGTGAGTGCTGCCCTCGCCACTTCTTACGCCGCCGTTCCAGCAACTGCAGCCGCAGCTCCGATTTCTGCTCCTCGGGCCCGCAAAGTTGCGGAAACGTGGTCAGCGATCGTGACGTCCAGCAACCCGGAGGAGACGTCTCAGCAAGTTGCTGAGCGTGTTCGCGTTCACAAGGTGCGTGAGCTGAAACGTGGCGGTGCGATTATTCGTACGCCATCTGTTGGCGAAATACGGAGGGTTCTTACAAATCCAAAGTTCAAAGAAGTTGGCCTCGATGTCAAGGAGAATGCTGCTATTCGGCCCAAGATCAACGTGGTTAGCGTTGACAGCAGCATCACGCCGAAGCAGTTCATGGAGGGTCTTTTTAAGAACCACTTCCTCGGACACTGCTCCAGTGCAGCGTTCGAAAAGTCGGTTAAGATTGCCTCAAAGCCATGGAACAGCGACGATGGACCCACGGTCAACGTTCAACTGGAGCTGGAAAGGAAGGCGCTGGACATCCTGGAGGACTCGGAAAGGATCTACGTAGAGTGGTTTTCTTTCCGCTGGTACCCGCTGACCCCGACTTATGCTTGCTTTAGGTGTTTCAGCTTTGATCACAAAATAGCAACATGTCGGATGAAGGAACAAGTGTGTAAGCGATGCGGACAATCGGGGCATCGTGTCTCGGGCTGCAGGAATCCTGTGCATTGCAGGAACTGCAGTTTCAAGGGTTTACCCGCGGGGCATCATATGCTCTCTGAGACTTGCCCGATTTACGGACGTGTGCTCGCCAGGGTGGCTGCTAAAAATTAACAATGTTTAGCATCATTCAGGCTAACTGCGGTCGCAGCCGAGCTGCCGTTATCGACCTTGGAGTTCGGATGAGGCACTCAAGGACGATGTTCGCATTGCTACAGGAGCCATACGTTGACCGTGGAGGAAGGATCACCGGATTACCGGCAGGCATGCGAGTCTTCTCCGACCGACGCAACAAAGCTGCAATTATCGTAGATGACCCGGAGGTCATCTGCATGCCTGTCTCCTCGCTCATAACCGAGTTTGGCGTATGCGTGAGTGTGTCGGGAAACTTCGGCTCGATTTTCCTCACCTCCGTATACTGCCAATTTAACACAGAAATGGAACCATACCTACTATACATGGATGCGGTGCTGCGACTAGCCAGCCGTACGCCTGTCATCTATGGCCTTGATGCGAACGCAGTATCCCCCCTGTGGTTCAGTAAGCTACCCGAGCGCTCTCGGGGCTACCTGAACAGGCAGCGGGGTGAGCTGCTAGCTGATTGGATTCAGGGAAGTCGAGCCGGCGTGCTGAATGTTCGTAGTAGTGTATACACGTTTGATAATCGCAGGGCGCGGAGCGATATTGACGTGACCATTGCCAGTGATTCGGCGTCTGCGTGGGCAACGTATGACTGGAGTGTAAGCAAGTGGGATTTAAGCGACCACAATATCATCACTGTTGTGGTGACGCTTGATCCGGAAAGCACAGTTGAGAGCTATGCTCCTGTGCCCTCGTGGAAACTTCAGAATGCTGACTGGCGGCGTTTCTGTGATGAGTTGAGGACTGCATCGATGGAAATCCCCCTGGAGAACTTTCGTCTTATGACATCGGATGAACAAGTGGCTGCACTGCGCTCCCTGGTCCATCAGGTGAACGACACTTTGTTTGGGCGTCGACAGCCGCAAGCTAGACGTCGTGTGGGCTGGTGGAATGCCGCCCTCATGGACGCACGCCGTGCGCTCAGGAGAGCCCGGCGAAGGCTTCAACATGCGCGTCGTACTCAAAGTGATAGTGCCAGTGCCCTTGCCTCGCATTTCAGGACCACCCGAAAGAAATACGAGAGGATGATACTTAAGACGAAGGAGGAAGACTGGAAACGATTTGTTGGCGAGCATCAGGATGATCCATGGGGATCAGTCTACAAGATATGCCGAGGCCGCAAGACGTGCACCGATATCGGTTGCCTTCGCTGGAACAATGAGCAGTACGTAACCTGGCACGACTGCGCGAATGTCCTGCTCCGCAACTTTTTCCCAGCTGCGGAGAGGCCAGTGGACATTGCTGTTCCTCGCGAAGTACCCCCATCCCTCGAAACTTTCGAGGTCGAGATGTGCATCGCTAGAGTTCGGAGCAGGCGCTCACCTGGCTTAGATGGCATCACTGGGGGTATGGTCAAAGCGGCTTGGCGGGCAATTCCGGAGCACATGACAGCGTTGTACTCCCGCTGCCTGGCAGATGGATACTTTCCCTTTGAGTGGAAGCGCCCGCGTGTGGTTGCGCTCCTCAAAGGCCTCGATAAAGACAGGAGCGATCCAGCGTCATATCGAGGCATCTGCCTACTACCTGTCTTTGGTAAAGTGCTGGAAGGGATCATGGTGAACCGCGTGAAAGAGGTGCTCACGGGTGAGAGTCGATGGCAATTCGGCTTTCGCCCCGGACGCTGCGTCGAGGATGCCTGGAGACATGTTGTGAGTAGCATCGAAGCCAGCCCGGCTCGATATGTGCTCGGAATCTTCATTGACTTCAAAGGAGCGTTCGACCATGTCGAATGGGATGCAGCGTTACGCCGACTATCGGATCTAGGATGCAGGGAAATTGGGATCTGGCGCAGCTTCTTTTCGGACCGAAATGCCAGCATCATCAGCAGCTTTGGTGAAGCCAGTGTGAACGTTTCACGTGGCTGCCCGCAGGGGTCCATTAGTGGTCCATTTATATGGAACATCTTAATGGATGTCCTTCTGCTCCGCCTTGAAGCGCGCTGCACATTTAGTGCATATGCTGATGACTTGCTGCTGCTCGTCGAGGGGAATTCCAGATCCCAACTGGAGCTCTCAGGCGCCCAACTAATGGAGATAGTTGGAGGATGGGGTATTGAGGTGGGCGTCTCAGTATCGATAACGAAGACTGTGACGATGCTCCTTAAGGGAAGACTGTCAGCCGGCAGGAATCCCGCCGTTAGATTTGCAGGAGCAAATCTGCGGTATGTGACGCAATACCGTTATCTTGGCATCACAGTCGGCGAGCGGTTGAGTTTTCTCCCGCATATCGCGTCTTTACGTGATCGGCTGGCTGGAGTCGTCGGAGCCCTGACCCGTGTGTTACGCGTTGACTGGGGACTCAGTCCGCGCGCACGACGAAGGATATATGCCGGACTCATGGTGCCTTGTGCATTATTTGGTGCCACGATATGGTACAAGACGGCGATGAGACTAGTCGGCGCCAGGAGGTCGCTCAAGTCCTGCCATCGCATCATCCTGTTAGGATGTTTGCCTACGTGCCGAACGGTATCCACTGATGCCCTTGAAGTACTAGCTGGAGCCCCACCGCTGGACCTTGTTGCGACGCGCAACGCTATGCAGTTCAAGCTGAAGAGGAGCTACCCGATGATAGAGGGCGATTGGCTCTACGGTCAAGACGTTTCGACCCTTGATCGTACTATGAGGAGAGCCTTGCTGGACGAACGCTTGTTGCGTGAATGGCAGATCCGGTGGGATGACAGCGAACACGGCCGTGTTACGCATAAATTCATACCGGATGTTAGCTTCGTTTATAGCCGCCCCGACTTCAGTTTCACGATGCTGACCAGTTTCCTCATAACTGGTCATGGCTCG